AAGAAATGCCTTGACTAGGAGGAGAGAGAAGAAAAGCATTAAAAGGAAAGCAGAGGACTAAACCAGAGGGACTCTGCAAAATTTGTGCCTCTGTGTTTGTTTCAGGAAAGGTAAATCTTAATACAAAGCACATCTAAAACTCATAAAGCTATGGTACTTTCAGTGTTAGAAATAGCATCTCCTGGGAGAATTGAAGCACCTTAGCTTAAATCTTTAACTCTTGCTATTGGTGCAGACATCATTGAGGGGATGCTAATTAAAGTGGAGCTCTGGGACACAAAAATATTTTAGTCCAGGTTGGTCAAAGTCCTTCTTGATTTATATTAAGAACCACTGCTCTTGCTTTCTCCAGGTAATTCTCTCCCTTGATCTGTTGCTTTTAATAATACCAAGCACCCTCCTCGCGAAAAATCACATCACTGTACAGTAATTCAGGTCCTAAAGGCAGCAGCATCAGGTGTTTTGGTGGATCTCAGAGGTGCTGCATTGCACTGGACCGAGATACAGCTTGACACCAGGGGAGCTCTGTCCTTTCTCGATCACCGTCAGCATTTTGCTTCAGGTCACCTTTCTGCATCCCGGTCTCTGCCAGATGTGAATGGTGAGAATGCCACTTTCCCGGGGTTGAGGGCCCTGGGAGAAATGTGATAGCCCTTCTCACATGCCAAGGCCGTGAAGGAAAAAGAGTCTCCAAAGTTCAAGTGCTTCAAGATACTGCGCTTGTTTAAGGTGGCCCAAGAGTCATGCTTACGTAAATCAACGCTTTTTAGAGGAAGAGAAAAATATAGTAAGGAATAAAGGTAAACTTTCTGCACTTGAGAGTGTTTCTCCCCCATTCCCTGGGCTATGTTTTACTATATATTATCACTGTCATCAAAAGGGGTGTGTATAAGAACTTGAAAAACCAAACGAACCTGTCTGTAAGGTGTTCCCTATATCACAGTCCTGCAGGTGGCTTTATTTCCAAAGCACCGGGCTGTGCTGCCGCTAAAGCCTCCTGCTTCCCCGTGCTGCCGCGACCTTCTTCTGGACTTAACCGCTGCACCAGGAGTAAGCGCCCACCCGCACGTAAGCTCCATTTCTTTATCAAAGTCACTTTTTTTAAAAGAGCTGTAGGCTGCAAGAGCAGTTTTGCTGTGACGATTTATCAGGCACTCAGCTGATGCACTGCCTGCCGTTCTCTTTTGTACACCACCAGGTTTCTCAGTGATAATCAATTGACTTTGGTTTAATGAATTAGTAGGGGAGGCATGCGTGGACTCCAGCAAATGTGTTTTAATAGATGAGCCTGTCTCATTAAATTAAAAGAGAATGTTTGTAAGGTGACAGCTAATTAATTGCTCCTTCCAGCACGGCAGCAGTTCAAGTAAAAGCAATACCGTAAAGCTCTCCTGTTGTTTAAACAACTGCCTGCCTCATCCCCTTTCTTTCCCCCCAAAGTGTATTTAAGCAGATATGTATATGTGTACATAAGCAGCACTAGCTAATGGTGAAAAATTATTTGAGGTCACCCAAACCAACATCCTGTTTGCATAGAATATTTGTAAAGAGACTACTTCTGCTAATCCTATTAAGAATTAACATGATTTTCTGGAACATACATAGCTCTATGTGGGAGCAACATATATACAGATGTATACATATATATATATACAGATAAAGCAGGATTTTCCCTTCCCAAATGTCTTTTCTTGTCTGCCACTAAGGCCTTTAGTGGGAAGCAAGCCCAGCAGCCCAGTCCCATGCCTTGCCCCATGCCTGAGAGGGGCTACAGCAGGGGCTCAGCCTGCCTTTCCACCACACAAAAATAATTTCCCAGCTTAGAAAAATAAGTTCTGCTTACAGTAAATTACAAACTCAAATATGTGCCTAGTTCTGAACCCTCCCCAAATCTGATGGTTTTGGCTCATTTCTGACCCCGCATTGCTTCTAACAGAGTTCAAACATCCTTCATAAAACTTCCCAGGTGTCATGGCACCTTGAGCAAGTCTATTTTCAGCCTTGGAAAATTCATCATGAAAATTCAAAAACAAGGCACTAAATCTAGCAATCTGTCATTACCACTCCACTAGCAATGATGCAAATACTACCAGCTTTGTAATTTTCCAGCTAAATCGTACCCAGATGGAGACATAATTATGATCTTTCAAGGTAGCATATTCTTTTATCTAAGCAGTAACTATTCCCAAATGATATTTTTCACTACACTAAAAAAAGTCAAATGAGAAATGATTTGTACTGTAAAGAGACTTTGCCTTGTACTCATCTTCCTCTCTGTTTTGCATTTGTATTTCTAGCAAAAAATAACTCTTAAAACTTGTAAAACTGTGGGACAAGAACTGTTTTCTGCTGCCAGAGAACAGAAATAAAGAGTGAAATTCTTTCTCTCCTGATGGAAATATTCTCACTGACCTAAGTAGGATCTTGTGGGGGGGGGCGGGTGGCATTCAGTCTGAAAACATTGCACTTCCCTTATCATGGGAGTGATTCTGGCCGTTTCTTCAAGTGGCCATTGGCTCATGGAGGTTATTTGTGCCTCCCGAGCTGGTGCCAGCGCGCACTCCCGACGGGCTGCTCCCCTCACTGCCCCTGCACACATGCTGCAAAGCTCTGCCTTGTTCAGAGGTGCTGAACAGGGACCCTCTGCTCCCCAGGGGCAGGGCCCATCCTTAAGGAATTGGGCAGCAGAGACTCCTGTTTCGTCCTCATTTCTTCACTGCTCTTTAGCGAGTTTTTCTGCCGCTCTTCTGCATGTCTCTGTCCTGCCACCCCTTGGTGATTAATGAGCAGTGAAATTCTGCTCTTGAAATCTGTGAAAACATTTCCATGGATTTCAAGAGGGCCAAAACTGCATCTAGATGTTTTTCCTCTGTGGGCAACAGTTACTTTCTTTTGTATAGGTGATAAGCACAATAACATCTCAATTTCTGTATTTCTCTGAGAAACTTGGAACAACAAGTTCCAAGTATTTGAGTCATGGGAGAGAATGCTTGACTTATTTCTACCTCATACTGTTCATTTCAGCATGTCTGTATACAGCAAGCCAGCAACATCTCATTCAAGTGTTAGAATTATGTATCAAATCAACTAGAAAAAATAAATAAATAAGCATTTTGTGCTTACTTACATTTGCATTACATTCTGCAGCAATTGATAAAAATGCCACTGTTTTTGACTTTCTAAATTGATTGTGAATAGATAAGACATGAGGTCCTTTTTTTCTGTGTGGCCCACTAAGCTGAAGGAATTAAAAAAATCCTATTGAGAGCAACACAAATTCTAATATTAAATTCTGGTAATCGTCTTACAGGCTGAGACAGGATTTGGCAGATTAATATGGATTACTTCATTTGAATGCAGTGAAATTCTGAATCGCTCACAGAAAGTATGGTGCTCATCCAAAAGCACAGTTATACCAATATACACATATAAAGTATTTTACACTAAATCCTTTGGGAGCAATGCCGATATTTGAATATCAGGCTAAATGATTTATGGTTTATATTCCCATATGTTGCCTTCATAAGGATATGATTAGGTGGAAATACAATACTTTTGAAAGACTACCTTGCCCTACATGTGATTTTCAGTATGTCATAGGATTTCAGAAATATCCCAAATGTTTCTGCATCAGCATAATCAGCTAGATTAAGATCTGAGCTTCTTTCAAATCTGTAATTTAGCCATACAAAACTTTTGAATCCTTCACCTCTTTTTTTATTATTATTGTTATACGCACGTATCTGGACAATTTTTGACCTTGAAATATTTCGTACTGGACTAAATATATATCTTACAGATATTAGGACCTATTATCCTATTAACTATCTCTAGTTTCTTTCTGCTAGAAATTGCCCAGGCTGCAATTAGTTATGAAAGGCAGGAGTAGCTTAGGTCTGCATGAGCCAAAACTAGCTTGAGCAGTCTGAAATGCGAACACCCAAGTGGAGTCCATTGAGTTTGTATTCAGGCAACAGTTAGTCCAAAAAAATGATTTCTGTCTCTCCCAAAGAGGAAAGTAGATGTGAACTAGAACCCGGAGAACTCTGGGTTTAAATTTCACTTAATTCTTTCCCTTAAGTCTGCTAAACCTCTATAATTTCTACTAAACTGCATATGGGAGGGTAAGGCATTGTGAATCTTAGCTAAAAATACCTGAGAAGCGCATGTGTGTGCAGACGCGTGTGCAAGCAGGTGGTATATGTGTAGAAAGAGCTATGGATAGAAATTCTTTATTTCTGTACCTACTTTAGTTTATCTTAAATACCTTGTTTTCCTCTACCTGTCTTCCTCCCTGTAGTATCACCTCTTCTCATCTACTTTCTTCTTTAGACATTTCACTTTCTGTACAACAACCTTCTTCCCCGAGGCTTTGAAATGATTTCCCAATTTTTCTCCCGAACTCTCAATTTCTAATCTCTTTTGCAAATGCATTTTTCAGCCAGACTTTGTTAAACTCTCTGCATTCTGGAGTGGTTGCAATCTGTGACCACTGTCTAATGGATATGTTGAGCACCCTTACGGTGAGGACGATGTTTTCTCATATGTCCAGAGACTTAATCATAAAATTTTACCAGTGATCTCACTAAACCTTAATGTTAACCTCAACCATATGTTTCTAAGCAGCTCATGAATGAGCTTATGCTCAATGACATGTCTATTCATAAACAATTTAGAAAGTCAAAACAGCAGTAATTCTGGCAGTTCTGAGTTGCTGCAGAATGCAATTCAAAATCCTCACTTATTTTTTAAATGCATAAATTGCATTATTAAATCCTAGGGACGTGTCATTCCAACCGTTTTTACTTCAAAGTTACATACGGATCTTGATAGGATGCATTCTTGATGAATTTATTAGTCCCTTCGCTGCAGTTTTCAGGACCATCCTTAACTTTAGTTGAAGCTTAAGTGACTATTTGCTACAGTACATCACAGATCTAGAATTTAGCTTCTCAGTATTATCCTCTCATCTCCAAGTAACATGTTAATATTTTAAGGTGATGCTGGATTCAGCCACGCACAGCACATTTCTATCAAACACGATGGTCTGTGACCCCCTGACGTCTTGGACAGAGTTATTTGGAACAACTGAAGATGATTATTCCAACTTTGATCATCAGACAGGTATGTAGAGAAACTGAAAAGAATGTGCAATGTCAAAAACTCAAGGCTGATTTTAATTTAATTGAGTTATAGACTAACCATGTAGCAAAGAACCTATAGATTTGGAGCTCAGCTGAGCTCACTGACAAGAGTCATCTTTCATTCTAGTCTTACTAACATTTTAAAGTATATAACCAGACATACAAGATAAAGGGGCACAGGTAGAATAGTACCAACTTTAGTTTGTATTTAGGTGATGTTTTCCCCTCATTTGGCAAGGCTAATCCAAGGAGGAACTCCCAGATGACAGTATGGTTCAGCAAGAGGGGCAGGACACCTAGGATTGTAGGCTCTCAACTCCTTTTGTTTACCTCATGATCTATCACTTAAATCACTCCCACCTGATGAAACAATAGCTATTCAATGGAAAAGTAATTTAATTCAGTAGGTTTACATAACCTTAAATACCTCTTTCGAACTATATGTATCAATGACCAGATAAATATACCTTTATGGGCAGAGAATGAGGATTCTGAAAGCCATCGGAGAGCTCGGTGGCTGTAGAAGTGCATCAGTAACAAGAAATAAGCTGTTCCCCAGTGGAGAATGTGCTGACAGTAAGTGCAATTCTCCAACAGCACACGTGGAAACCCTGCACTTCAGAGCGCCTGTTGCCAGGCCGGGTCCCCGTTCAGGAATATCAGTAAGCATTTCTCATTAGAAATTCTTTCTCTTCAAAACAATTGTCTTGAATTCCTAAACAGTCCAGATATTCTTTCTCTCTGCACTCAGACTGAATCATTCAGCAGGCTCTAAAAAGAAACGTAGCACAATCCACTGCTACCACTGAGCCAGACTTGTGGTGACAACTGGGCAGAATTTATGTTTTCATGCAACATTTTTCTCCTACAAAGCTATTTTTGTTCCTTCAAATGAGGACACTGTTGGTCTCATAGACCTCTCCTGCCAATGCACAGTTTGAGTAATAAGGAACAGAACTTTCCACATGATTTCTACTGGTACTAATCCACAACCATCCAGGACTTAGTATTTTGTTTCTGCCTTGATAGGTCTGCTCATTCAATGCTTTCTGTGACATAGGAGGCAGAGAAAAAAGCTGTTTGCTTCAGCTTAGTGGCCGTATTTAAAGCCCTGCAGGAACTGTATTTTTATTTCAAAAAAAAACCCTACTGTTTTAGCATCAGTTTTCATTCCATTTTACATTGGAATTCCAAATTTCATTTAAAGTTACAGAAATCATAGAAAGTATTCGGTTTCAAATTTTAAGAATGCATTTTCAAATACCAAATACGATTCAATTGAAAGTTAATTTTGGATCAGTCAGAATAATTCTTCCAATTAGGCCTTGATTTTTATAATAGATTTCCTTGTTACTCAATCTTCTTTTACCTTTCCAAATAAAATTTCAGTGAAATTGAAATAATCTCAGGGGAAGTTCTGCTATCAGGAGATCAGCATTTGCCAAAGGCAAAGCCATCCATTACAGACATGTTGACCATTTTCAACATTCCTGCAGTCTGTTTGTTGTGGGTCTGTGACTCCATGGTTGTGCATCTCTGCAGACATCCAGCAGCACGTGTGCTCTGGCAATTCACTCAGACTGCACTTGTAACTAAGTACAAAGCTTCATGAGCTCCCAGACTCACAGTTTTGTGCAGCAACCATGTCAGAGTTCACTGCTGCTTAGCAAAGCTGAGCCGAGGAAGTATTTAGTCCTTTCCAACCATGGTAGTAGCTACGTTTCCTCCTCCGCACGTCTTCTATGAGTGCTCAGTTTTGAATTTCTTAGGTCTTCCAGGAATCCTTAAAGGTTCCAATAATTTCTCTCCTGAATCAAATTTAAATCAACCTCATAAAAATCTATGAATACTCTTATCATTTCCTCCCTTCCTCTCTTTGTACCCTCCCTCCTTCCTTCCTTCCTTCCTTCCCTCCCTCCCTCCCTTAGCAGCCCAGGAATGCACTTACCATGTCTAGGACCTAAATAAAATTATTACTTCAGTGCTGCAGTATTGCCTATACTGCCTAAGAAGTCCTATAAAAAAAAATAGGCAATTTATTTTGAAGCTAGAAATGAATGTATATCAGTAAAATAACATTTAATCTATACTTTCTTCTTCTCACTGTAATCAGCTTGCGATTATGTATTTCAAAAGCCTGTTTTGGACTTGCTAGAAATTAAGCTTAAGCTCAAGTTCAAACATACGTGAAAAAGGGATGAAAAGCTTGCCTAGAAAGAGACAGAAAACGGCCACCGATACACAGGCTACTGCAGGACTCCACTCCTGCCTGCCAGAACTTTGCTAGGAAGTCCCCTCATTTTTATGCAAAAGCCTGAGAAGTTCCTAAAGCGTTTTCTCTTAAAATATGGAATGGTTCCCTTAAACCCAATCAGAGGCAGGACACTGTCATAGAAGGTCCTCTGGGACAGTACAGTAATTCTCAAGTTCCTATAAGAACAATAGACTTAATCTGCCTTATGGTTTTATTTGTAAAATGGGAACCATTTTCAGAATTTTGCATTTCCAAAATGGAAAATGACTTATGGTCATTTTACTGTTTTTATTTTCTGGACATCAGAATATAGCAAGATTTAAATTTTTGGAGCATGTTTTTTTATATACAAATTGAAAGTTTAAAAAAAAGGTTACACTAGAAATACTGTGTCGTTTTCATTTTTCACCCTGATATTCCAGCACTAGACGAAAAAGAGAAAAACACTAAGAAAGTAATACAGAAAATGTATGGAAATCCTGGCTCCACAAATTAAAACATTAGGCTTAAACGAAATATATCCTTTCCACCTAACAGAAACAGACCAAAATACGTAGGAGTGATCTGTCTGGCCTAAATTAAAACTGGGCTACATGTAAGCAGCCTCTGATGTGTCCCCTAGGTTTTGTTCTGGTTGACAGCAGTGCTGGTCAGCCCAGAGGCTACATTAGCTTGCCTGCATGTGTCGTGCAGAAATCAGTGCATCCAAGGAAAATCCAGTCAGCTGCCGTTTGGCCTGTGCTCCCAAACCTGCTTGACACCTACTGGCTTCTACAGCCCTGCTTGTCACCACCGCAGCATCCCCTGCAAGGCTGCCCTCTCCTCAGCAGTGCAGCCTCAGCTAGATCAGTGTAAATCAGGCCTATGGATAAAACAATCCTGGAAAATGAAGTCAACCAGTGGCATTTCCTGAGGGCTGGATACATGGCATAATACTTTGATCCCATTCACCACCTAGGAGAAGGGAAAGCTCTCCTGAAAGCTAAGGTCTAGTATAAAAAATGAAAGACAAGAGCCCATGCATATGCCAGACCTTTTGAACACTCATTATATATACATTGGCACTTTATGGGACCCTGGAATATCCAAAAAAAAAAAAAATCCAAAAATATGTTCCAAAGCCAAGGCAAACAGAGAAACTAGTCCAGAAGAGAGCAGTTTCATGAAAGAAACTTGCTGTGGCACTTATCATTGCCAGCCAGCTGATATTCATCACAGTCAAGCCCAAGTTTCAGGACCAACGGCCAAAGCCTTTCAAAGGTATTCACTGTAGCTGTGCGATGGCAGAATAAACAGCTTTGCTTACCTCCTATGTTGCCTTAAGACAGAAAAAACAGCAATAAAGCACTCTTCTAGAGAGGAAAAATAAAGCTGTGACCTTGTCACTCAGCAGCGAAGCACACAAAAAATGCAGAAGGGTCTGGGCTCAGTCAGTGGAGCAGCACAGGGGACACAGGGCTGGATTCATGCCTGCCCCAGAGGAAGGCCCCTCTGCCTGTAAATCTGCCCAGCTGAGGATATAGATGATGTTCCAGCTTTCCAAAGGGGGCGGTTGGCTGCTGGTACAAGCGGAAAAGCATGCTTGGTCCAGAGAGAGATTGATTCAGGCTTCTGCTTTTCTTGAGTCACCTCTAATGCTGAGATTCCCATAGACTGTGCCTGATTTTAGAGATTTTTTTTTCCTGGCAGAAGCCCTGTGATCCTGGTGCTTCCAGCGCTCCCATTCTCCCGCAAGGAAGCCTGCAGCCTCCGACCCAGCCAGGTGCGCGCGGTTCGCAGCGCTCACGGAAGCCGATCCAAAGTCAAGTTCAGACGATTTGCCTTTTAAATGAGGACTTGAATAAAATCTCAGATTCAAATATCCTCGAGCAATGGGGCCCAAAAGCCAGACCCAGATCTTCTGCCCACCCCTTCGCTTTTCTAGGATGTCACAGTAGCATTTCAGGGTTTAAAACAAAGTATTAAGTATTACATTAATTCTGTACGTGCATACGGATGAAGATATTTATAGCATGGGAATGATTCATGAAAGCAACCACAAATTCCCCTGTAAACTTTTGGCACTTCTAATTAGAAGTATTAATTATTTTGAGAAGCCCATGTAAGATGCAAGATCCATATTTCAGCTATTCTACCACAATTTGAAACCCTTTGAATTAATTTTACTGTGGAAACTCATCCAGAATATTTGCATCATTTGCACTCTGAACTGACTGTCTAGACAAATGACAGGTACAGTTCACTTTGCTTGCAGTTCTATCATAGCCTATTTTGAATTACAATTTTGTATCAGCAGTGCCTCAAATCAGCAGATTCATTTGAAGGTGAAATAATAAATAAGGACTAAGAAATTGTGAAATGTAATTCAAATATGAGATGTAAAAATAAACTAAACTATTTGTGATTTCTGTATTTCCTTACTTTCCTTGGCCTCATTCACATGATACTTGGTTGCCTTTCCATTGCTATTTAGCTCTGTTACTGGGGCCACTCTAGGGATATAATAAGTAATAGAGACAAAATACTCAAAAAACAATCCAGCATTTCTAAAGCTATTAAAGCAATAGTTGTTCAAGCCTAGAATTTCTGGAGCTGCTTAAGAAACCCATCTGAGAGAAATTACTAGTCTTTCTTAGCAGCCTAAAGTAAAAGCAGCAAATTGTGTAATGAATTATAAAACTAATGAATACAAGAAGCAGACCTAATTCTGTTTTCTCTAAGATTGATCTGAATGGATACAGAAAGGGCAACTCTTTTCAACCTTAGTTGCGACAAAAGTTTGCAGCAAAATGCAAGAAGCAGGACATGTCTCTTAAAGGAATCAGGAAGGAAGCTGGCAATCGGGATAAGGAAGAGGGGTTAGCTTTGCTTGAAAAATGCTTATTCGAATGATGCATACAATGAGTTTTGCATGGCAATGTTCCTCTTTCTTGTCAAATATATTGCAGATTCCGATCCTTTCTGGACATCCGTTCACCCAGAGTACTGGAATAAGCACAATGTCTGTGAATGGTTACAGTTTTGCTGTGACCAATACAAACTGGATGCCAACTGCATTTCCTTTTCCCGCTTTAATATCAACGGCCTACAGCTGTGCAACATGACACAAGAGGAGTTCCTAGATGCTGCAGGCACTTGTGGTGAATACTTGTATTTCATCTTACAGAATATCAGGATGCACGGTTAGTGTTCCAGAGATCAAATGCAAAACAAGAAGTCTTGCAATTCTGTGTGAAATTCATGTTAGCAAAAAAAAAAAAAAAAGTGAGATTTACAACCGTGGGCACACTGATGGAAGTTGAGACACAGAGAGCACCTAGATGCTGCACTGAGGAGCAGGGCAGGCAAAGCCAAGGTCATTGAGGCTTTGGGCCTCACGGGCCACAAGCAGGCAGGCCAGGCGCAGCTCTGGGAGCCACTCCAGGACCGCTGCTCCTGCCTATCGAACCTGTCAGCTTGCAAAATCCAGAGCAGATTTATATCCTGACTGCATGTAGAAAGATACAATTCATAGCTAATTTAATTCAACCAAAAAAAAAAAGAGTTTTCTCTGCTTCTCAAAGAGTTTTCTCTGCTTCTCAGAAAGTGAACAAGGAGTTTTGTTCAATGGGTTATCATCAGTGCAGTTCAATGAAATTCTTGAATGCAAACTCCACTATTTTCAACATTGACTTTGAAGATCTATCTTTATTTAAAATGAATTCAGCTTTAAAAGACTTTTAAGCTGTTGCTGGCTTTGTCTAAATGAAACAAAATTAAAATTATTGTTAAAAGATAGGCTTTTACTATATTCGCTGCTTGCCACACAGCTTAATAGTGTCAATCAAGGACAATTTCCTGAGGGTCTGTTGTGATGATATGAGCAAAAGCATTTCCACTAAACAAGGAAGTTCAGGGCATTTCCTCATTCCCTAAAAGAGAAACTAAGGAGCATTGTAGCTGCTTGAAGCCCTCAACTCAAACATGCTCTTGCTTCGTGGAGTATTTAACACACTGGAGTTGCCACAGGGCTTCTGGAAAAGGAGGAATGGTATAAGCAGGTCAGTGCTCCCTCACTGCTTATACAGACCCTGGAGAACCACGGGGAGCTGACACCAGTGATGGCTCCTCATCACCAGCAGCCACTGGGTCACCACATACAGGAGCAATATGTGCTCATTAATGCAAGGCTTTACCTTATCGTACTGAAGCAAATGGCCAAACAGGCAGGTTTAATTCCAGCATTTTTCCAGTCTTGTGTGCTAGACTCTGCAACATGAATTAAGTTCCTTGAACGTAGTCCCTTAAGTCCCTTGTTTGTGCAATGCGTTTGTGTGCTGTGAATGCAATGACCCCTTTACAAAGGTGAATCTGGGGAAGACAAGTGAACATCTGATTTTCAGCAGAGATGATCTCTAGTTGGGGAAAGGAGGCAGGGAAGACTGAAGGAGTAGTTTTAAAGGAGAGAAGAGTCGAATGAGGAAGGACTTCTTAGGAAGTGGAAAAAATTCAATGAAGTTGACAGCAAAATCAAAATGAAAAGGGACCAGAGGGAAAGGAAGCTTGGAGTAGGAAAAAAAAATTAAATTAAAAAAAAAAAAAAAACAGATGTAAAACCAAATCACTTTTGTAGCAAATGAACTGAAAACCATTTTCACGGTTCTATATTCTGCATTTTCTCTAACTTTTTTTTTAACTATATTCACAAGCACTCATGGAATAGGGCAGAATTGTGCTTTAAATTTCAGTTGAGAAGTCATTTTACAGCTTGTGAAGAAAAGAACTGAACACTGGTATGTCTTTTCCCCCACAGGCATCTCCTTCTTTACTGATGCAGGAGAAACAAAGCCATCTATCAAGAGCGGTAAGTAAACACGCTTGTGCTCAATAAGCTCCATTCAACAGGAGACACACAGTTCATTTAAAGATCAGAAACATTCAGCAGTTCAGCAGATTTCTACAAATGAAAAAAAAATCTAAGCCCTTTGCTTCCAACTCTAATGCTTTTACTGAAATCCCTGCAGTATGCACAGATTAGCAAAAAGATACATAAAAAAGCAAAGATTAGCAGAGATCCCAACATTTCTGAATGGGTATTTTGAAGGAAAGCAGGATCCCAGAGCTTTGCATTTTCACTGAGGAGCAAAGCACTAAGCAGAGCTTGTCCTTTAGTGCAGGCATTCCCAGAAGGTAGAAGCATGACTTCATTCCCATGGGAATACTTTGAAATTTGGAGGAAGGTGGCACAGCAGTAGGATACCGCAGAGCGGCAAACCCTATATCCTAAACAAAAAGTCAGCCAAGTTGGCTGCTTATTTGCTAAGGATGCGGATAACAAGAAAGAAAGCGGGTGCCTGACTACCTCTAAGTAAATTCAGAATATTCTGTAATCTGTCAGTTCTGGCTATCACCACCTCTACTAATCTAATAACTCCCAATCGGTTTGTGAAGCTAGGGTTTGTGGCTAGATTTACTAGTGGCCCACGGGAAGATTTAAGCGACATGGGCTATGCCCTTGGTCAAATCCTTCTGTTTGTAAAAGAAGGCTGAACAAATCCATTGACATGACAGACTGCCCAGAACAGCAGTTAAAAACAGCCTATTCCAAGGTAGTGGCTTTCTGCTGGTTGGGGATGTGGCACTGCCCCTCTCAAACTCTGGCTGATGTTCTTCTGGGCCAGCAGCAGGCTCTGTACACGTTGTGAAACACTCATACCTAAAAGCATGACCCCATTAGTGTCAGAGTTCCTAGCCTGTACTTACTGAGTTGCTTTCACTTTATAGTGCTTATTATGGTTTCATGTGCACCAAAATAAATTCCTGGAGGTCACAAACACAAAGGCATATAACAACAATGAAAAACTGGCCCATCTTCAAAAAGTTCTGCCACTTTGCCATTTTTAGCCTATTTATCCAGTGAAGTAAATCCATGGGTCTTCACTGCTTAATCTTCTCACAGGATTGCACCTTTCTCACTAATCACGTACTCAGCAGATAATATTTTTTATAGGAGGTAGGAATCTCCAGACTGCACATCACAGGGGCATACTATATGGATGCACACCGCAGTCCAAACTCCATAAGCCTAAAGAATCCAAACATTTTTAACAGAACATTAACAAAAAATGACATGTATTTTACTGTGCTGCAAGCCACACAATCATGTGTTAATTATTTACTTGCGTTTACCTTTGTGCTAGAGCTTTATTAAAGAGATAAAGTCCGTGGCTCACATACCCTCTTTGACTTAATGTTGCATGGTCTTTGAATAGGTGACCTCTTGAGCAAGCTGCCAGCAGCCTCCGGAGCACCTCCTTCTCTCCTCACGTTGTTCTGCAGTTCAGGGCCAGCCGCAGATAAGGCA